AAAAGAACGTAATGTTTACCAATTATGAGTTTGTGTAAATTTTAAATCTGATGATGGCGCTGTTGTCTCGCCGAAACGTAATGAAATAAACGATACAAAAATTTTTCCTTCACACTTTGACTGAGACCCACGAAGGATAAGAATATAATAACAATTAGACGCAGTCAGGAAAATATGTGTGTGTTAAAAAATGGCGAAATGTGCCGTCCAAAAAGCATTTGAAGAAAAGGTGATTTTGTTGTTGGAAACTGTTGATGACTAAGTGGCGGCCAGACTGGAATTCAGTCTCATCTCGTTGGGTCAGTCGATCGGATAAAGAAGTGCAAGACGAGCCAACTCAAAAGAAAAAAGGAAAATCGCAACATCAAAAGGATGACAGAAACGATGCGGCATAATTGCATCATGCCTAGCGAGAGGATGAGCACTGATGCTCGAAATCCTGAACGTTTATTATGCAAATCGTTCGAATGTACACCAAGCACGAAACAGAAAGTGGAGCGAAGGCTTTTGAGCTTAATTTTATTATGATAAACTGCTGCACTTTGCGGGTGTTTAGAGTAAGGGGAACCTGATGGATATTTGAATGCTTCATCTAAATTAACTTAACTTCGCATTCTTCGACGATCATCACACCAATGCGTTGCAAGCGTCAAAATACTGAATCTTTGCGAATTTAACTATCGGGAAAACGAGCAATTTTTTGTTAGTTTACAAAACTCCATTTTACTGAGAATCTTCTGAGTCCCCCAACACTTTTGCTTCCCATTTATTTAAATAAATTATTTTTTGTCGATTAATGCAGCTGCTGCGACAATTTTAAAAGCCAGTTTCCAGCAACCGCCACTCATAACATGCAAAGGGCTTAAAAGCCCGCACTCAAAACAGTCCTAATTTATTGCCCAAATCCACCCAGTTGAGCCCTTGTGCAAACTGGGGTTTAAGCGGATATATTTTCATGCTCAACCAAATCCCATAATAGACTTATCCGGAATGAAATATAAATTTCCAGAGATTAGAGGAAGCGAATTGCCAGGGACGACTCGAAAATCGGTTGAAACTTTGCGCGAAACTTTCAAGTGAATAGTTTAGGATTTCTTTAACAAAATTTCGATCAAGCATCAATAGTTTTTCACCCGTTGAGTTGAAACTTGCCGATTTTAAAGCGGAGGACAAAAACGAGATGAAAGTTCCCAACACTAGACAAATCAATTGAATTTGTTCCAGCTAGCCGGGAAATAGCATTTGCTCATGCTCTGGCAGCTGCAGGAGTAGCGTATTCCGTATCCAGAGCATGCCGAGATGGACAGTTATCGTCCTGCGGATGTTCCAACATGGAACGACCGAAGGACTTGAAGCAGAGCTTTGTATGGGGCGGATGCGGCGACAACTTGGAATATGGATACAAGTAAGTCACTAGCAACATTCACTTCATCAGTGTCCTTCTTGCACACCACTATGTCTGAACATGCTGACAAGCCGTTTGCACTGGCAAGACTTTATTGCACGACTGAATTCCAGGTGATCTTTACTGCTACCCACAGTGACGCATTCAATTAGGAGGAAAATTAATAGCCGCCACTAGATTTTAATTGGTCCATAAACATGGGGTTTACAATCAAAATTATCGCCCAGAGATATGTGCGGTGCAATAAAATTTTTATTCGCCTGTACACTCTTACTGCCTAAGTCGTAGACGCTGTTCTTTTTGTATCAATAGCCTTCGCGGTTATTGCTTGAAACCGCCGTAAAGAATCCGCTGTCCCGACGGCCTAAAAGCCCAAAAAACTTTCCAGTTTCTTTGTTTTTGTCACTCTAACTCAGCCAAAAAGTTCAAACAGCTTTCACGTGAACTTATGTGAATAGTCCCTGCCTGAATCATAACGGGTGTTATTGCAGTTGTTTAATGAATCACATTTGAATGATAAAATGTCCAGTAAATGAAACAAGTAGGTAGCATAAGCTCGACTACGAGCCGATACCAAACCGATCCCCGGTATGGTATCCCATCCCATATATCCCCGGCTGTGGAATTCTGGCGTGAATGCACTAGTCCAAATGTTATTTATTAAATTTGTTTCTACAAGCCGTGGAACCCAAACACATGCACAGGAGAAACGTAAAATTTACATAAGAAATTTCTATTACATTGTCGTCCTAGACCCTAGAGCGGCGGTTTACAGTTAGGCCAGAAAACTTGGAAAAAATGTATTAATCTGACACAATGGGCTTATAAATCTCCAAGTTCTACTTTAAATTGTTAAGATACCGTGTTGCAGCGAAATAGCCAAACATCATTAACTCGATTGTGTCAAATTTATTTATTGCCCATTGTTTAATGTGTGTTATTTCAGGGAAGATTCTTGTTTGTGTTAGGAAATTGTCGAAAACTTTTTTATTTTTTGGGCGTGTACTTCCACGGGTCTGTTTGGAACCGTTTTCTAAGAAAAATGTGTTGTTTGAACCAAGTAAATATGGCTTTAAGATAAAATAGTTTTTAATTGCTTATACTTTTAATAGCCGGAATATGTTTGCTATTCCCTTTCCCATTTTATCTGTTACCCATCTGTCTTCATGGGTGAAAATCTCTTTCACAGGCTCTAAAAACTCTGTCCCAGTTTCCTATTGATTTTAATTTCAGATTTTCATTATTGAAGCTATTTTATACGTATTTTGAGCTGCTGAATCGAATGGTACCAGTTTCCTCTAAGTATCCAGCTTTAAAGTCAGGGGGGTTATGTAGAAAAAATACAGTCTTCTGTTATCTATGAAATTAGAAAAATTATCGTCGTTTTGTGCAAGGGTGGCGCAAGATTATTGCAAA